TCCCTCTCCCACTCCCCCTGCTTGTGTTCCCTCTCTCGCTGTGTCTGTCTCTGTCAAAAAATAAATAAAATCTTTAAAAAAAAGAATCTTCAGTGACTGGGGGTGGGGGCGGGGGTAGGGCAGAACCCTGAGAATAATTGCGGAAGAAGGGAAGGAAGACGAGCTTCATTTTGCCTGCATCATCCGATGCCGGCCTGGGAATGCCTCAGCCTGAAAGAATTTCCCTCACCAGGAGAGGGAGAGTAGGGTGAGTGGCCGGCTTCCCTAGCCTGCAGGACACCACGTGAGGGAGCCCACCCAGAGACTGGCAGAGCTGCGATGACTAGAGAGAGGAAGGAACAAAGAAACGTAGGTGCTACCCGAATCAGGCCGCGGCGGGCCGCCTGCAGATTTCACTGGGTTCTGCCCCGCGGATATTCACATTCACAGACCCCAGACTCCTGAGTCCTCCCTTCCCTGCTCCCTGCTTCCTGCCCACACCCCACCCCCACCTACCTCCACCCCCTGCTGCCAGAGCCAAGGGTCCACACCAGCAGCCAGCCGGTACAAGATGGCAGCCACGAACCCCGTGCGGACCCCCACCTCCATGTGCACACTTGGGCCTAACGCCTGCGCACACTGGCCTGATCCTCATCACCTTCACTGCTGTCCACGTACCTGTGGCACATCGCAACAAGCCAGGCCCTCACAGCCGTTTGTGGGTCTGAATTTGGCTCTGCTCCAGTCACTGGCCTTCACCACTTGGCACATGTGTAGGGAACCTAGTGGTGCACCTGTATGCCCCAACCAGACCCTCATTAGTGGCCTCCGAGGCTAGGCCCACACCCTTGGGGAGACCCTGCAGCTGCAGGAGTACACGTATTGGCAGGGCCCCCACAGCTGTTTGAGGGCTGCATCTGGCCCGCCTCCTGCCGCTTGACTGACACCTCCCCTCCCCCCCCACGCCGGCCTCCGCTGTGCTGTGCCCGCCATGGTGAGGCCTTGCAGCCACAGTAAGACACACGGACAGCCATGGTCCCCACAGCTGCTGATGCACCTGCAGCTGGCCCTGGCCCCCACCACTCTGTGTATGTTTGCAACCAGCCCCCACCACTACATAGACCCGCAGCTGGCCCCTGCTGCTGTGTGCACACCACCAGCTCCGGCCACCGCTACTGCGCGCCCCAGCCCCTAGCCACTGGCCCTGGAGGTGCCGCGGACGACTCCAACAACCCTTGTAGCCACTGCGGACCCCCCACAGTGCTCACCAAGAACCACGCAGTTGTCAATGTTGT